CCGATGATTGTGGGGTGGTGCTCTGTGCGGCCCCAGCAAGTCCAAAGCATGTTGCAACCCTTGTCCAGGAGCAGCCACTTCCTCAAAACTCAGCTGTGGGTATATAGTCTGGAGGCTTCATCATGTTTAAAAATTATTTAAGCTTTGGACATGAGTGTTTTTTCTTAGTCTTCCCCATCTTCACTGCCAAGGCTCAAGTGTGACATGTGCAGCGTGGCTGTAGGAGCCGGGTAGAGCACTGTACAGTGGGACAGATTGATGTCAGACCATTAGGGGGACTGGGCTGTAAAGGCCTTCTCATAACTGTGCCCTGTCTCTCTGGCTCTTCCAGTATCCACCCCTGCTAATTCCTCCCTGGGGAGAAGTCGATGCTATGGATGCTTTTGATATTGGCTCATTTGATGAAGAGGATACTAAAGGCATTAAGGTACATATGTGACAGTTTTTGCTTTACTTATTTTATGTGTGAAGTTTCTGTTGAGAATCAGTTAAACTTAGTGATTGTTTTAGTTTTCGACTCTTTATGGAATGAGTATCTACATATTTGAAACTCTGTAAGTTTAAGACCTAAATTAGAGTCCTATCTGGGCAAGTCAGTGAGATCCTGCCTCAAAATGAAAAATAGAAAGGACTGAGATGTAGTTCAGTATGAAGGCCCTAGGTTTAATCCTTGGTACTGGAAGAAAAAAAGAAAAAAGACCTAAATTAGGGAGAAACCGTGAATGCTTTCATTGTACTAATAATTTTATTTTTAATGAATTACAAAATGGTCAAATCTTTATTGATTTGGAATATTTGTGATCAAAAGAAAACGTGAACATATATAAAGCAGGGAAAAACAGCTATGGTATCAAACATATTTCGTCTAGTGCAAAAGAGCCAGTTTGAATCCTGCTGAGTACTTGGATCTCCTTTTGTCAGGATGAAAAGTGCAGTCAATATGAATCATTTTGCATTTGTGAGTCAAAGGTAAAATAATCATTGTTTTTCACATCATCCTCTGCTGTTGGGAGCAATGCTACATAATTTTAGGTAAAAATCATTTGAGTAGGCCTAGTTCTCCTGCCTGCAGGCCAGCTATGACATTTCAGACATAATTGCATTTGGGTCACAACTGAGACCTCAGTGATCCTGCAATGCTGCTGTAATGCTCCAGGACAAGACCACACCTGCGAGAGACACCAGGGAGGAACCAACTCTTCATCTGCATAGTTCCTCATCATTCTTAGATTTCCACTGCTCCCCAATCTTTTGTTACACCTTGTTTATCCCAATGTGAAGTACTGAACTCTGTATTTTCACTTGTTACATCTGTTTCCCCATGTACTGAATAAAAGGTGCTACAAGCTAGGGGGCTTTTGTCTTTGCTGCCCAGAGCAGCACTGATCAGACCCAAAGGTCAGCTTCTTCTCAGTCTCATTTTTCTACCTTTCCTGTAATTCGCCATGTGCTGCCGTGGCTACAGGAGACTTGGACGTACTACAGAGGTTCTGGTAACGTCCCCTTCCCCTGTTCCCTACACTCTGCATTTTTCAAACTTCTGTTCATATCATTATTTTTCCAAGTAGAGACAAGACATAATTACACATGGTAAGTCATGAGAGAAAAATCACTGTCTTTAAAATGCTAAGTCAGTGTATCACTACATGTCACACTGTTATCTGTCCCCACTCTAACTGCTTCTCCGGGTGTCCCCACTATCTTGAACCCCCCATCTCTTCTGAGCTGCCTTCTTTTATCCTCTTCTGCAGATCCCTGCATTTGTCCCTCCAATTACCTACTCCCCAGAAGGCTGGGATATTGTGGTAACACTCACCTTCCAGATGTAAAGAAAAGGAGGGCTGTAAAAGGCAAGGGCCTACCAGGAGTTGTCACTACAAACATCCAGAACCACATAGGCAGATGGGAAAGTGGGGGAAGTGGCACACAGACACCAAGTGCTTGAGAGGCTGGGGAAGGGAGCAGCTGCTGGGTAGAGCTGGTGATAGCATCCGGAGAGGAGGGCTGAGCCAGAAGGACCATCAGGATATTCCCAGGAGCAATTTCCAGGAAGTGAGGCTGGGTGCAGGCAAAGTGGGGAGAGCTGAGGTCACAGGGCAGGGGTGGGGGACTGCTGGGTGGCTCAGAGACACCTGTAATCTGGGATGTAGCTGTCCCAGGGACAGTAGCAAGAACAGAGCCTAGACCCAGCATCACTGGGCATCATCTGCAGCCTCAGTGGTCAGTACCTGGGAGTGTAAGGCCTGCTGCACAGTAGGCTATGGGGAGTAAGGCATGGACAGAACTACATAAAGGGATTGCTCCTGTCATGGTAGAACTTTGTCATCAGACATGCTACTACCCATCAAAGGGTACTAAAAATAAAACTGCTATTATGTGAGATCTCACCAAATGTTTTCATATTAAAAAGAGTCTCTGGGATGGGGATTTAGCGCAGTGGTTTCACCGCCTGTTAGGGAAGCACAAGGACCTGAGTTTGATCCCCAGTACCGAAAAAAAAAAAAAAAGTCTCTCATACTTAAAATTTTTATAAACAAGAATCTAAACTTTGCAGGCAACAGACTTAGCTCAAAGCTGCCACTTGGCAGCAGAATGAATTTGGGCCATTCCTTATGCAACCGTGAGTGTGGAGGCTCAGTCCAGTGAAGGGATCTGTGTTGGTGTTTGTTTGTTGTGGAACTGGGATGGAACCTTGGGGTACTGTACCACTGAGCTATATCTCCAGTTTTTTTCATTTTTTGACATAGGGTCTCGATATGTTACCCAGGCTAGGGTCAAACTTACTATCCTACCTCAGCCTCCTGAAAAGCCGAGGTTACAGGAATGCATACCACACCCATCCGAGTAACATCTTACAAAATGATCTATTCTTTATCTTTGTTAAGCAACCCAAAGAATATGAAGGGAGTCCATGTGGACTCAGGCCATGCCCTTTACAAATGTGCATCTGTGCGCCCAGCACAGGTACCTGCAGGCTTGGTGTCTACACCTCCCCAGCTCACTCCCACTCACACACTGGTGTGCACATGCCTCTCTTCCCGTTCATAACTATGGAGGATATCTGCTCTAGGCATGGTTTGGAGATTAGAAGAAAGTAGAAAGGGGGAAGGCTCTGCCAATCCAGCTGACCAAAAGGGGACCTTGTTATAACAGATGTCAGACTGGAGAGGCAATGGCCCATGGGGGATGGCAAGACACTGGTGCTTTTCATGTTCACTGATTTGCTGAGGTACCAAGGCAGGTACCACCTCCTTGTCCTGTCTTTTCCTTCTAAATACCTTGCTACAGCACCTGTGTCTGTCTGTTCTCCCAGACAAAAATGGCTTATGAAGGAGATCAAGACTCTACAGAGATTGTGCTTCTGACAAGATGTGTGTTTTCTATCAGAAGAATGGCTCAGTCTTCTCCCAGAAAACTTGCTTGATGCCTAAAACAAGCTCATTTTCAAAGTGCAATCTCACTTAAAAGGGCAGAATGAAGAATCTCAGTAATTATTGGAAAGAAAAATGCTATCGTTAAATGTAATTTTTATTACAGCAACGCTTGGAGGCCATGTTGCCTAAACTCCATGTGTCTTGCACCTTCTATTTATACACATGATTGTAGTGTTTAATTAGGTGGACTATTAAATTCAGCCTAGCTTAGCTTGTATTTTCCTAACTTTACAGATTAATGAAGGCAGGTTGGAAAGCCCTCATAATTGTAAGCATATTATAATATGTGCTACAATTATTTCTAAAACCATTTTCCTACTTTTATAAATAATATATCCTCATGATAATTAAAATTTTACTTAGTCATCAGAATCTTTTAATACTTGAATAGAACCCTATGTGTGTTAGTTTTCATTGACAAAAATGCCATGAAGATGGTACAGAAGATGAGGCCCAGTCTACCTGACCCAGATGGAGTGATGTGCTAGTCAGTTGTGACCCTAAGTCCTGGTGGCTTGAGTCATTGTCAGTGGAGATCTGTCACAGCTAAAAGCTCTCAGTGACTATGTGCTGTCTTCTAGCTGTCTTCCTGTGTACAGCTGTGAGTCACCATGGGTGTGGTGCTACTGACCCACTGTCTTTGAAAATATGGTAAATCACAAATATTTTATTTACTAATAAGTTGCTTGATTGCGACCAAGAACTCTGCAAGAACTTCCCTTTGGTCATCTCTGAGCCCTGGCAACAGGATGTGACAGAGACAATTTATGAGGCAGTAAACGCAGACACTGGTAAAATTGGAGCCAGGAAGAGAACAAAAAATAAGCAACCTGGTCATGAGGAAGGTGAAATAGCTCATGTGTCTTGATATGTTTTAAATGCAAGGAATTTTCACAATTTCTTATGAAGCTAAAAAACCATTTGGGTCATAAAGTATTTCCCAGCAGAGGAAAAAAAAAGGCTGGTCATTATAGTTTTATGTGGATTGGAAGAGTTTGGTTAGTATCAGTCTTCAGTCAACATATAAACAAAAGTGTATTGAGACAGCCAGCCTTATTTCATCTAGGTCATCTATCAGGGAGTAGTGGGGGCCAGGTAGGAAGCTTGTTCCTTGAAAATAGAGTGGGACAGCTTTGAGAACAGGGCCAGCCTAACTGGTGTGTGTCCTATGCAGTCACCCAGGGCACAGGATGCATGCTCTGCCATCACCATCTTGAGTGTCTCAAAGTGCAAACTTGGGTGCAGATTTTTGAAGAAGAGTTTGCATGTTCACTTTGCACAGGGCCCCTGACACGGGTAGCTGGTCCTGGGGAGGAACTTGGTATGACCTGTCACTTTTCAGGAGAGAGAAATGTGTGATTATATTTATATTACAAAATGTGTTTATGCATAGCCAAATAGGAGTTTGAAGATGGAAGATAACATCAAGTATTAAAAATGACTCATTCTTGATTCACTAAATATTGTTACTCTTGGTTTGTCTAAGATTTACTTATTTTTGTAAGACATTTAAATTTATTATAGTTGATGATTAAGGTAAAATGTCATTTCATTTTCTCTCTCAGCTAAGACCTGCACAGGTGAGATCACATATGCATAAGAAGGACCAAAGACATTTTCATTGTATTAAAGGTTACTTTGATGGAAGCTTCTTGGTGTAGGAGTGTCTGGTCCTCTTTGACACTCCCAGGAGCATTTATTGTCTACCTAGAACCAGGGCTTCAGTACTGGGTGACTTACTCCTTATATGGTTGCTGCCAGAATATAACAAGGGAGTGCTGCACACCTTTAACTGTCCCCCACCTCGGTTCTCCAGGGGACACAGCCTTTGTGTGTGAGCTGCTCTTCAGAGTACCTGTCCTTGAGGTCACACTCGTGTGTGCTTGCCATGACAGATGTCCCAGGGAACTTGAACCAGCAGTCATTTGCCGTGATGGTCCTAGGATCCTGACAGAATAGCCCAGGAAAAATATGTCTTCTAATGACTGCTGAATGTATTCCTTTAATTAGAACTGTAATTAAACAGAACATGTAACAAATGAGTGAACTGATTTTTATATATTAATAAATAATGTTAGTAAATACTTTGCATATATCTTGGTTAATGTTCTAAAATTGTTCTATAGAAAAATCTACAGTCTAGGCTTAGATCTCTGAAGAAAGATACTTATATTTTAAATACTTTGGAAATGTAACCATGTTTCAGATTAAAATGGCAATGCCAAGAGCCGCACCTGGTCCCCAGTGACCCTCCCTACCCCTCTCCTTCCTAGATCCTCTCCTCTCCTGTGGCCTGATGACCCAGCATGGGTTTGCCTCTTTGCTTAATGTCTGAAGCTCACACTAGACTGTGAGCTCCACGAGGGCAGGATTTTGTCCTTTTTGTGCACTGCTGAATACAGAACATGCCCAGCACTTGGGCTTTCACACACTACTTGTTGAATGAATAAATTTTTCAGTAACTGGCTGATTTCAACATAATCACAAAGCTTTCTGTGAAAACTAAAAATCAGGTTTTTTTAAGAGATAGTATCTCAAAAAGGTAATCAGGTCTCAACATGAAAGTGACTTGTCTCTGTACACAGCCGCGTGAGTGAGAAACAAATCTGACCTTCAGCTAAGGAATGAACCACATTTGACCTTGTGTACCTCAGCTGACTGGGACAAGTCCCCACTCTAATAGTATTTATAGGATGAAAGATAGACTAAAGGGACAATCTTGACGCCCCAAAAGGGCCAGCGTACTTCAGGGATAGCTCACATTGACTCTATGTTCTTCATTATTTATATACAGTAAAAAAAAAGGTTTGGAACAAACTTGGACCTCTCTAAGGAATAAATGAGCACTGGGAATTCATTGGAATCCTGAGAAGCAACTGAGTAACATTAATAGAGAGTGAGTCAGAAACTTCTGAGTTAGATGCCCAGTTCCCACATGTTTACAAATGAAAATAATGGTTTCTGTGATGTGTTAGAGTCATAGAAGTGTGACTTTCCCCAAAAGCATGTCATTCTGTATTCCTGAGAATACACCTGCCTCAAGGCCTACCTGGCCTGGGCCCTGGGTAACTCTCAGTGTTTCCACCCTCAGATTATACCCTGGGCAAGGACTACATCATGCACGGGCACATGCTGAAGCTGGGCAACCCCTTCCTTACGCAGTGCAGCACCACTACTCCTACCTCTTCCCAAACAGGCTTGAGTGGAGAGGAGAAGGCGAGTCACGGGTGAGTCCCAGGGGGGTGCGCCCAGCGCTGCTTCCAGCATGTTCCGTGACCTCATGTTGCCAACATGTTTTCCAAAGCATCTCCCTAAGGCCTGTGTATCTCAATGTATATCACAAGATTGCAGTATTCAAACTTTCACTGTTAAACATCCAGGTCCACATCAGAGAAGGGCTATGTAGTCTCTGAAATATTTCCTTCTTTTAGAGAGAACCAGTCAAAGTCCCTGAGTCTTCAGATGGGTTGAGCAGTTGGTAGGTCACAGGAGAAAAGGACAGCTGGACAGTGGGGTCAGACAGGTTCACATCCACAGCTTAGTGCCTCTGAGACGTGGAGCCCATTCCATTGCCCCTCAGAGCTTCAGTTTCCTCATGTGGGAAAAAGAAGGAACAGAAATCACAAGGACTACTATAATTTTTACATGTTTATCTGAGGCCAGATGCTATAAAATACACACACACACAACCTTCAGTCTGTTTAGCAACCTTTGAAGGTCCAACTCTCGATTATTGAAGAGGACACCAAAGTTCAAAGAGGCAGAGTCTAGCACCCAGGGGCCATAGCTGGACAGATGTGGGTGCAGAGGGATGGGAACCCAGGTCTGCCTATGCACTTGGTCTCTCAAGTCCAGTCAGATAGAATGTCATTTGCGATACTTGACTCGGGGAGATGAGGGCATCAAACCGTATCTCCCTTTGCACCTTGTTGGAAACTTATGCAAACCCACCTATGGGTGGGTCCTGTAGGAGGACATAGCTGCCCTCTTGGGTTCCTTCTACAGCTCATGCTGGTAAACAAGATAGAAAATTTTCTAATCCATGCTGTATTTGCTAGCAACTCAAGCAGCATTTATTAAGTGGCTACTGTGTGTGGCGCCAGGACTGGTCCTCATGCACAGAGCCAACCCTGGTGGAGGGCAGTTTGTCTACTCCTGGGGAGGACAGTGGTCTCCAGTGTCAGGCACAGAGTTTATGTATTAGTGATGTGGATACTGCCCATCATTTCTCTTGAAGTCAGAAGTAGAGAAAATCAACCAATGAATGGATAAAGAAGATGTGGGCTTTTTTACCCAATGGAGTTCTACTCTGTCATAAAGAGGGATAAGCTCTAGACATATTTAGCTAAATGGATGCACCTTGGGACCATACTCTTAAGTAAAATAAATTGGACACACATGTTTAAATACCATGTTGTTTCTGTGGTGTGAAACACCAAAAGTATAAATAAGGACCAAAATGTATAATAGATATTGCAAAATGTTCAAATGAGATGGGGAACAAGGGAGGGGGAAGGGGGAAAGGAAGGAAGGGACAAGAAAAAAAGAGAAGGAAAAAAAGGGAAACAGCTTTTGTAAATAAGGAGGGGAGGAGAGGTTGAAGGGAAAGGAGGACAATGGGATAAAAAGAAGCAAGAAATATCATTTCCAGGTACAAATTCCCTATGATGGATGTGATCATTGTATCTAAAGTACACCAATAAAAAATTAAATAAATAAAACAAAAGTGGGAGCCCCAGACCTTGTGTGTTAGACTTGGGATTGTTTTCTAATCCTTCCTGGGGAATTTGCCATTTTGGTGCAAACGATTGTGATTGCATATTACCACATTCCTTTAAAAATTAACAAGAGGCCCGCGGATTTAGCTCCGTGGTTCCATTGCCTGCCTTACAGGTGCCAGGTCCCGAGTTCAATCCCCGGTACCAAAAAAAAACAAACAAACCCAAGATCGTCTCAATATTACTTGTGCCATAAATGTCATTTCTTAAAAACTAATATATCTAGGTCTAGATCTGAATTACAGTTAATAAGACTTTTTGGGTCTCGGAGTTCTAACTCAGGGCTGGTATGTATTACAGTAGCTCCTCAAAGCTCAATCTGTATCCAGATAACGAGTGGACCTGGGCATATTATTCATTCACTCACTGTGTTGTCTACTGGCAAGTCACTATTGTGCAGGTGAAAGGGAAATTGTCCCACTTTTCAGAATATTTGACAACTTTAAAAAAAGACTTACTTTAACATCAGATACAGAAACATCTTGGTATTTTTTTTGGGTACCAGGATCGAACTCGGGACCTTGCGCTTGAGAGGCAGGCGCCAGAACCACTGAGCTATATCCCCGGCCCCAGAAACATCTTGGGTTTTAAAAGAGTTAGCACTTAGTACATAGGTTGGTTTGTTAAGAATAAACATGTAAAAAAGAAAACTTGAGAGTTTACGATGGTATTGTTTTTCATTTAGGATTCCTGGAGTATTTATCCAAAAAACCCCATAAAATGGTAAGGAACTCATCACACTATAGCATGTTATAGACCTAGTGTGACAATCTTTGAAGGATGTCACCTGTACTTAGAGCTTCATTTTGATATTATCAAAATATTCTTAGTTTACAAGCCAGCATCACCAGGCATTTTCTGAGTTGCTGGGTTCCAGCAGAGCTGCACCCTTTTGCTGGAGAGAATCTCACGTAGTACGTCACTGTCCCCTCCTGACCTGATGGAGAACAGTTAGAGAGCACAGGAAGCTGCTCACCAGCAAGTCCTGAGATCATTCCAAATCAGTTTTGTGAAGAGAGAATGCTTTATTGCTTTGCTCTGTAGTAGAAAGATTGCTTTCTTTGCACTTTTCTTTGAAATGTTATAATTTAAACTTTTCTACATGTTCCTTTATAGCCATTTCCCCCTCACTTATAAAATATCACCACAAAATGTCATTTTTAATTTATTCTGACTTGTTGGTATCATTACTTATTAACATAACTTAGATCATAAAATACTTTTAAGTAATTTGTAATTTTTATTTTTATGGTTAGCAAAACTTACTGACCATGGAACAGATTCTCTCTGTGGAAGAAACTCAGATTAAAGACAAAAAGTGCATCTTGTTTAGAATAAAAGAAGGTAAGCAATTTGTCTTGCAATGTGAGGTAAGTTTTTCTTTTTCTTTATTTTCTCTTAGGTGAAAGTTAAAACATTTGCATAAGTATTCAGTGAGGCTGACAACCTGGTGATAAAGCATTTTCTTACTGTATGGTTAGCAAGAAATCCCTGAGGTATAAGATTTTCAGCAAATTAACAATTACTTTTTAAAGAAGCAAGTATTAGAAAATGGGATACCCATTCATGATAAAAAAACCCTACAGAAAATTAG